CGTGCTACTCAGCCTGACTGTCGAGAGGAGAGGAAGACAGAGTGAGGAGACAAAGCCATGTTAAGAAAATCTTTAAGATAGGATGTCAACTTCACAGCAGAAATCAAATTTTTCCTGGCCCTAAGTTTAATGAGTAATTTAGCTTTAGGTCCTCATACGACTACTGAACATGTAATAAAATATGAGAAATAGGCATAATTGGAAAGCTTCCCTATATGTGCTGGCTGTGAGTGCTAATGGTAAGACATCTATTAGACTATTAAGGGATTGGAAGACGGTGTGTGTGCATGTGTGCATCTGGGATGTCAGGGAGAAGAAGTATAGTTTCCCCACATGTTATTTCACTATAGAGTTAAAAAAAAAACTGAAAGAAGCTATTTTAGGATGACATTTAGTGTACTCTCGTGGATAACGTATAGCATACAGTTTGCTTTCTCCAGTTGTTTGTAACAGGGACAGAAACCTGGAGGGGAAATGCATTCTCCACGAGGCTTTCTTTGCACTCCCCCTTGGGACCAGGTGAGGGCTAATCTTAGCTCTCAACCTGCCTTTCCCAGCTGAAGTAGGCATTATGCCAGCAAAGGAAATGGGAGCCCATTCTAACTCCTAGCCCTCTTTTAAATTCCAAATAAACACTGGATAGCTCCCATCTTAGAGCAGGAAGATGAAGAATTTGGTGATGATGATGATGAAGATGATGATGACTGTGCTGGTGCTAATAATGGATACAGTGTCAGGTTCTACAGGATAGTGGGGACAGGCCTCAGGGAAGAGCTGGCATTTAAATCAAACCAGAATGAAAACTGTTGCAGAGGACAGATTAGAGACTTAAGGAATACAGTAAGCAAGTTCATGGAGGTAAGAGAGTGTATGGAGTCTTGGACAACATTTTAACAAGTTTGGACTTTATGGACAGTAGTTGGCAATAAAGAATTTTGAAGAAGGCACTCCATGATATAATCTTCCTTGTGTTTTAAAAGGCTATTTTTGCCAACAGCATGGCACTGTGCTGTCTAAAACAATAGCCTTTAGTCACATGTGGTTCCCGAGAACTTGAAGTGTAGCTAGTCTGAGTTGAGATGTGCTGTCAGTGTAAAATACACGTTGGATTTTGAAGACAGTACAAAAGTATGTAAAAATACTTCAGTAATATTTATGTTGATTATAAGTTGAAATGAAGATATTCTGGATCTATCAATTCAAAGAAGTATATTATTAACCTTAATTTCATGCTTTTTTTTGACTTTTTAAAATGAGGCTACTAGAAAATTTTAAATTACCCACGTGACTCACATTATATTTCTACTGGATTGCACTGGTGGACAGTGGGGAGCCTGGCTTGGAGAAGCAAAGAACTGAAGACCAGGAGAAGATAGGAAGCTACAGTAAAACCCTAGACAAGGGATGATTGTGGGGTCAGATCCAAGGCAGTGATGCTGGGAATAGACAAGAGAGGACAGGTAAAGAGCCTTTTAAATAGGACTTGACAGTGATTTTCTCGGATATGGGAATTAAAAGAGGGAAGAGTTAAGGTTGCATGTCAAATGTCTAGTCTGAAAAACTGAGGTGTTGGAGGATGGTTTTTAGAACTTGATGCAGACACCTTTCAACATGGACATGCACATATGCGGAGCAATAGAGAATTTGGATGTGAAGCTCATGAGAGGGCAGAGTGGGGTTGTAGATTCGGGAGTCAACAGCAAGAGGTGATAGTTGAAGCACAGCAATGGGTGAGATCACGGGGCTTACTCACGGAGGGAGGATAGAATGGGAGCCAAGCACAGAGAATTAGGGGAATGATGGAGGTTGGGGCTCAGAATTTTAGATGTGTAGGAAAGAAGAGAGGCTGGTAAACTTCACTAAGGTTGGTCAGTGAGAACCAGCAGACCCTGGTACCATGTAGACCAAGGGAGGTGTTTCCAAATGGAACATGTTACCAAAGGCAGGAGGCAGAGGCTCTTGGGCTGGCTGTCTCAAGGGAGCCACTGGTGGTGTTTGTTGGGATGGGGCTTTGATGAGTCACCTGAAGGCAGGTGTCACACTGCAGAAAGCCTAGCAGAGAGTGACTGTGAGGAAGGGGAGACTTGAAGAGGTTTGGACACTAGAGAAGGTTGGTGGGGAATGGGAGGCTGGGGAGGGAGGGTTAGCACAGGGCTGAGGGCCAGGATTGTAAGGTAAAGGGTGAAGGAGGATGTGATAATTGATGGAGCAAGGCCAAGAGGATGAATTGGTACAGGAAACTACATGAAAACGTTGTACCTGGAGTCTTTTATCCATCCCCGCCCAACAACAACAAAAAAATCCCGTAATACTTTATAGCCACTTGTCCACTAGTCCATCTCGAGGATCCGACCTTTCCATGAGCTCCATCTGGGTAGGGCCTCCTGCAGGTGGGAGGGTGAGAGAGGAGACACCAGCCTTGCCCTTGCTCTCCACGGGGAACTGCAGGGAGTTTGGACAGGCCACCTCCCCTGTGTGCCTGAGGCTCGGGAGGCCGTCCTCTCCAGGGATGTATGAACCTCCAGTCCCTGAGCCCTGCCTAACAGGCCAGATCCCTTACACTCTGGCATCTACCAGGTCTCCTCAGAGCCCAGGCAGAGAGGAGGCTTCGAATCCTTCCCCAACCCCTGAGCTTCGGCTCCGGCTGCAGCGCCTAGCCTTCGCCGGTAGGGGCGCTGGGAACCCGCGGATGGCCGGCTTCGGTCCAGAGACCGACCCGCGCCCACCTCAGCCTTCAGCGCTGGAACTTTTCTTGGGGCGGCCAATGGCCGCGGTCTTTGGAAACCCACAGACTCCAAGGATCTGCCTCATTCTGGGCTGGACGTTGTCACTGGCGTGGTTCCCAATTTCCATTGTAACTCCGGGTGGAAAAGCAAGTTCACGAGGGCGGGGGCTCCCGAGAACCGCTGTTGTCTCCCTCCTTGCCCGGCTCAGATTCCCAGGCACCTCCTCTGTCTCCTGCATTCTTCTTGGTCCTCCCCAGAGCTCTTTTCGCCTCTTCTTCGGTCTCCCCTTTCCATTCGCGCCATCAGCTCGCCTTCTCTCCGCCTCTTGGTCATCTCCCCCTCCCCTTTCTCTTTCGCTGTCTTCCCCTTTGTTGCCTTCTTCTATCTTTGCCTCAGCTTTCTTTCCTTCCCCTCCCCGCGTTCCCCTCCCGTCTCAGCTTTAATCGTCTCCTGCACTGGAACTCTTCCGTCTAAGCCAGAAGAGGGAGGCCTTCACGCTCCCCAAGCCCCCTCCCTTCATCCTACTCCTTTCTTAATAGCCCCTCCTCCAGCTTCACGGATCTAGGCCTTTTCGACCCCTAGAAACCCCGGGATTTTCTCGGAGGCTGTTGCACTACTTGCCCCAGGGCCTGTAAGCTACATCTTGAGGTTGTCTTCGGGTTTAGTTTCCTCTCTCCAGCCCACTCAAAGTCTCCTTCTACGGGGTACGAAGGGTCCCAGCCCAGAGTGAGTTCCACGCGCCCTGGCTGCTCTTCTGCAGTGGGCTACTGTGGGAACTAATAGGCCTGAGCTGTGCTGGGCCTGGAGCCCTCTAACTTGCAGCCCTTTCAAAATTGAGCCCTTTCAGGAATAAATCTAGGGAGATGGGGGCGCGACCTCGTCCGCGCGTCGCAGGCGGAAAGATGGGGGCTAGATCCTCCCCGTGAGAGGAAACGGTCTCGACTTCTCTCTTTCCCCAGCTCCAGCTGGGGTCCCAGGAATAAAAGTTACCGAGTCCGGAAGGAGCTGGCAAGCCCCCAGACCCGTCTGCCGGCGCCTCCTAATTCTTTCCTCTAGCCCTCGGAGAGGCTCAAGAAACAACTGGTTTACATCCGGAGGCGGTGGGGCACTATGGGTGCGCGCGGAGCCAGGAGGAGCGGGCTATCCAGAACCGCCTGCCTTGCTTTCGGTATTGCCTTTCTGAGGACTCGCAGGCTCACGGAAATGCAAACACAGCCCCTGCGTGATCCGCGAGCGCCCACAGCCCGAGCGCACCCCTCCCTGCCTCACACCCCATCGCTCACACTAACACGCATACATACGCGTGCAAATGCGCACGCACGGAGCCGCGCGCCCCCGCACATCCAGCCACCCCCGGCTCAGCCAGGTACCCCCACCCTTGGCGCCCGCCCGCCAGCCTCGGGCGCACCCCTTGCCTTCCCACTACCGCCTGCGCGCACGCACGCGCACG